AAAGTATATATTGTATATCCGATCAATATAGAAGGTGTATATTGTAATCAATAAATATGGGAAGGGTAGGATATTGTGTCCTATATTTTGTGGTAAGTCTTGGTATAGTTTAGGTGTCTATGATTTAGTTTCTATTAGTTTCATATGTAATTTGTTTATAAAAGACAAGTCTGTATATTCATATCAATTAATGGACATTGAGTCTCTTCAGAGAAACTTGAGACTCTTCACATGGTATCGGAACCATATTCATCTTCGTTGAGTCAATTCCTCGTTCCTGAAGCATTGTCGCCAATTTTCAAGACGAGTTTGTTGCTCACTTAGTCGGTACATTTTTGTCGAGTCGTATTTCAACTATCTGATCTGTCCTCTCTGTGTAGTTGCGTTTCGACTCTTGATCTGTCTCTCTGCTGAGTCGTGTTTTGATTATCTGATCTGTCTCTACACCGAGTCGTATTTCGACTCACTGATATGTTTGATCTTTTCCAAAAGTTCATGAAACCATCTATTCTCGAGGCTTGTTGATTCGCTACTGCTTTTTGTGCTTATTAATCAAGCAATCTGAATATGCACATGAAGATCCAACGCTTCGTTTCTACGACTTGGAGTTCAAACTCCAGCTGCCCTCTTTCATAGTATCTTGAGTTTGAGGGGGAGTGTGAAAGGAAAATATATATTATATATCCGGTTAATATATAAGGTGTATATTATAATCCCTAAATATAAGAAGGATAGGATATTGTGTCATGTATTTGATGGTTAGTCTGGGTATAGTTTAGGTGTCTATGATTTTAGTTTATATTAGTGTCATCTGTAATTTATCTATAAAAGACAAGTCCATATATTCTTATCAATTAATGGACACTGAGTCTCTTCATAGAAACTTGAGACCCTTCACATGTAGGACTACTATCATCTCTACATATTAGCTATAATACCATGCTGGCAACAAAACAAAAAATCACCGCACTAACAGATTTACAAACAACACCACCTATCCGAGCCTGTCCCAAATTCCCATAAGTGCTTCCATCAAATTTAAGCTTTTACTACTTAGCAAGGGTGGAATCTACCTTCATTTTGGTCTAATCCTCAAGGAGGACTGATTGATCAAATTGGAAAGATTCACAATGACATCCACCTTTAAAACTCCCTCTCCTTCCTTATTATTATAGAATCAAAACCAAAGATTATTAATGATCTTGCCTATCATCCTGTCAATCAATGTTATTATATTTGCTTCACTTCGAGCGAAGCACGCTAAGTCTTCCGAGTTTTGCCTCACCAGTGAAGCGAACCGTATAGCGAAGAGTATATTTAGGATACTCTCGTGAAGTTTACATACGCAAAATGGGTAAGCTATGTATGCCATGTGTTGAAAAAAGTACAAAACCAAACGCCCACCCTACCTACTTTGACATGTATAAAGAGAAGTATAAAAAAGCAATAGAACCCCTACCTACTTTGACAAGGGTTAAAAAGTAAAAAATAAAAAGGTATTGCTATTTTTTAAATTTAAAAGAATTATTCGAATCCTTTTTACTACTATGTTTCTAACTCCAAGACATTAAAAAAATAAATTTAAAATTAATAATATTAAAATAATATTTAAACTATTTTATTTATTATTAAATATAGTAATAAATTTATATATTATTAATTTTTTATTTATTTTAAAATTTTTAAAAAATTCCTAAATCTTTTTCCGAATCAGCCGAAAGACCGAATTGCTTCATCTTTTAGACCAAAACGAAGCAGGCTCCGAAATGAATCTAACAACATTGCTCTCAATATCTGAAACCGCATAAAAGTACATCTATTCCTCTCCATGTAGACTTTCCCAGAGAAAATTCCATTGAAAATTTCCCAAATAATCACACCTTTTTTAGGCAAACATAGTACGCGTAACTGATCTATTATATCCATGTGTCTAAAAGGCAAAGATATAAAAAAACCCATAGAATAAAAATCCCACATCCATAGCTAGTGACTAAAGGGGAAACACAATAATATATGATTCCTAGTCTCTTCATCTCTCTTGTAAAGAATACCATCATTAACAATCAACTCAGCTTACCCCTTATCTTGAGAAATAATCCAAAGGAAAGTTTGCACCTTATGAGGAATATGCCACTTTCAAATACACTTCAGTTTAGGTTGCATCCATCTATGACGATCAGGTAATAAATTGGGGTGTGTAGATATAACCGAGAATACTGCATCATTGCTTCTTTCCCACACAACTACATCTTCATCACCTGATGAGATATAAATACTCTCCAAGTGATTCAACAAATTCGTAAACTGAAAAATTAGAACATCTGAGACTCTGTTATATGTAAAAAGGATATTCCAATTAACTTTTTGCACATCACAGACGTAGGCCTCACTGACTTTCACCAATGGATTGGCTATTTTTTAAAAAGAGTTCCTTGTAACAAGTGGTCTATACCCGATCCACCTATGAGACCAAAAATTAATGTTACCCCTCTTACCAACCACCTATCTAATAGTCCTATTCATCGTCGCCATGGAAGCTAGAATGCCTTTCTAAATTTGAGATTAGAATCTACCTTCTCAACTATTGCTAATAAGAGCATTGCTATGGTCAATCCTATACTTGGAAAACAAAACTTGTTTCCATAATTGTTCATCCCTGAGTAGAGATCTCCACAACCATTTAGTAACAAGGCTTTATTAACCCATTTCAACCTCCTGTTTCCCAAACTACCTTCCATCTTTGAGGCACAGACAATGTCCCAACTGACCAAATGATAACTTCTTCCCCTATCCATAGAATCCAAAGGAAATCCCTCATCAACCTTTCAAGTTTTTCCAAAACAGAACTTGGCATATTCAGTAAAGACATCAAATAGATTAGTAAGTTAGTAAAAAATGATTTATTAACTGTAAAACTATCCCCAAAGGACAAAAATTTCATCTTCTAAAGGTCTAGCTTAACATGAAATCTTTTCTAAATAGGGTCCCAAACTGATCTAGGTAACCTGTTGTCCGAGATAACAACTACAAGATATTTTATAAGAAAATGATCGACAACATAATCCATTCGGGATGCTACTCAATCTACCAAATCTGAATTACCTCAACTTCCATCAAAGAAGTCTTTGAAAATTTAACTTTCAAGCCCAGAGCAACTCCATAGCATCTCAGAAAAGTTGTAATGGTGTGTACTTGTTTATAGTTTGTATCACAAAATATAAGGGAGCTATCGGCATAATGCATATGCGAGATGGAAGGACCATCCTCATCAACTTTAAACCCATTGAATCTGCCCCTCCTTCCAATGTTTTTAAGCATTAAACTAAAACCTTTTGGCACAAAGGTAAAAATGAACAACGGAAAGGGCATCACCTCGTCTTAAGCCCCTCGCAGCTTTGAAAAAACCTTGGGGACAACCATTGATAATGACCGAGTTGTGAGTTGACAAGAGGCATTCCAAAATCCACTTTCTCCATTTGAACTCTAACCTCATACAAGCCATGATTTCATCCAGAATTCCCCATTCAACCCTATAACATATCTTCTCCATATCCAACTTCAATAACACCACCGGTTCACCACTCAATGCTCTCGAATGCAAATATTCTTGTACAGTCAATTTACTATCCATAATGATCTTACCTTTAATGAAAACATATTGGGTACCAAAATAAGCACATGTAACATGTTCATTAGTAGCGTAGCCAAAATCGTAGCGATGATTTTATATAAATTGGTAAACAACTAATAGACCTAAGATCATTGACACCTGCAATAGAATCTCTCTTAGGGATCAAAGCAATGCAAGTAGAATTGATGCATTTATCAATCACCCCTCTCTCTATGAATTCTTGAACCATCTCTAAAACTTCATCCTTAACTAAATCCCATTTTTTAAAAAAGAGTATAATGGGAAAGCCATCTAACCAAGTGGACTTGTCACCTTGGCAGTGAAAAAATTGCATCCTTGATCTCTTCCAAAATTATTGGAGCCTCCAAATCCCTCAAAATTTGTTCTGACAAGCATTTGAAAGGTACTCCCCTAAACCTAGCCCCAAAATTATATTCACTACAAAAAGCCTTCTCAAAATGCCCAATGAATTCATTTTTCCAACCAATTTCATCCTCCTCATGTACACCATCGAAATTATATCCAAAATATTGTTTTGATGTCTCTTGGCATTTGCAATTGTATGGACGAAACCAGTGTTCAAATCTCCCTCTTTAAGCCACTTCACCCTAGACTCTGTCTCCAATAAATCTCTTCTTGCCTAAGCAATTCATGTAAAGAATTATTGAGTTGAGTTCTCTTTGCTAGAAGAGCTTCATAAACAACTATATTTTCCTTAATTTCTTCCGAGTCTATATTGGTTTTCAAGTAGAATCTATTATTCCTTTCCAGACAATTAATTTGTTCTTGGCATTCAGATGTTTCTTATGAAATTTAAGATCACACCATCCATGTACCATCACCATATTTCAACCAAGTTTGTTTAATTAGCTTCTTGACTTCAACCTCCAACAACCAAGGAATCTCCATTCTAAAAGGAAGGATTTCTAAAAGTGACATTGTGGCACTCACCACCCTGACCACTTCTGCCTCGAGTCGGTCGCTACGTATAGTAATCAGAACCACGACGTGTCACGTAAGTTCTCTCCTCATATTTAATCGCTAACAACCCTTGATAATTTTAGGAATTGGGCTTGGATTTGAGTTGTTAGCAGTTTAGTCGAGCAATGCTACATCTCAAGTTCGATTCCTACCAATGAACTATCAAAAAAAAAAAAAGAAAAAAGAAAATCAGAACCCACACGATTAATGTACGTTTTATTTTTATAGGATCATGAGTACATGTTCAGTTCTCTTAAACCATCGTTGTTACGAATTATAGAGAATTATGGCTTCAACAACCATAACACTCAGTTAAGCAACAAGGTATGCCTCACTTTTCCATTAATAATAGAGAAAACATGATTAGCAAATCAATTCTCCGAACATATCTCAAAAGAAAGTAGCTTATTTTCGCGAATCAAGTAAACTAGAACAACCAAACACTCCAATATCATCCGTATCATTGAGGTGGTAGGATCATATAAACTCCAGTTTTAAAGGATGAAGAAGCAAGGGAACAACTACATTATCTTAACAGCACTGTGTGTGTGAGAGGGAGAGAGGTGTGGTGGAGTGGGGACACCACTACTGTCCGGCCGCAAACGCCTCGACCGGGAATGTCTTCTTGACTCCAGCAAGGCTCTTGAACTGGATCTTACCAGTAGGAGGATTATTGACGGTGATCTCGTTCACTGGAGGCCACAGCATGAGCTCCTTGGCCTTGACCCCCTTGAGCTTCTTAATGCATTTCTTTTGGACATAGCCCGTGATCTCGGTGTCGTAGCTCACTTGCTTGCTCACCATCTTGAAGAGGTGCTCCACCTTCTTCTTTTGCACGATCCACATGTAGCCGGTGGCCCGCACAAACCCTACTTCGATCACGTCGGCCAACGGGAGGAGGCCAACAGGCAGTTCAAACTCTTCCAAGAGAGAAAGAGCTAATTTCAGCCCTTCTTCATGCCCCTTATTCACTATGCCTCCCTCCTTCTCAGCCATGGCTACAAGTTTTAGTAAAAAGCCTCTCTGTCTCTCTCTCCAATTCTTGGTATGGATTGGAGTTCTTGTGATTATAATGGAGGGGATGGTCTCCATTTATAAAGAGGTGATGTGAGAGGTTCATATGAATAGGTCAAGAAGGATGGGGAAAACAAGCTTCTATACCTAGGGTGAATCGCCCATTTTGGCTAGCCTGCTTGTTAGGGTAGTTTGGTACAATCGGCTTGTGTGGAAGCATTCTCCACTTCAGTGCGCAAAAACTTGGGTGAGCCAACTCGGACTCGCCTGAGTAACCTGAATCAGGTGAGTCCGAGTATCCCTGAGTTGGGTGGCATAACTCGAGGATCTTAAAAAGAAATTAAAAAAAAATATATAAAAATTCAAATTTTTTTTGAAATTCATCTCATATATGTTCTTTTATGTTTTCTAACATTTTAGTAAAAATTGAAAAGTGTTTTATTCATGAATACTTATTTTTATATTTTTCATTCTTTTAATATACCTTCCATCACAAATGGATTTTTTCTAATATATTTTCTAACCTCATTTAGATGTGTTTTGTTTAATTTTACTTTAAAATTTTTTTTTTTTTTAGGAATTTTTGACTTTTTTTATGTTTTTAACACTTTTTGGCATGCCAGGATCCAGCCTGAGCAATTTGAACTAGGCCCGAGTTACTCGGCTGGGCCATGGGCCGAGTCACATCCCCGAGTCATGGTTTTGCATGCTTGTCTACTCCAAGAGAAGCATTGCTTACATAACAATTGGCCACGCCCTTTTGGATTGCCAATCCTTGGAGAGCATAAGTTAGTCCCAGTGAAGAGCCCAACCCAGTCCAGTAAACATAGAACAGGCCCAGAGTAGAAGACAAACAACATTAAAAAACAAAAAAAGAAAATGAGAGTCGAATAGAACCTTTGAACATATGAATCTCTCAAATAATTAGTCTGGTAGACCCATATACGTGCAAACACTTTTTTATCACGTCGAAGAACTTGGTAAATTTGTGTGAATGGTTACTAATAATTTGTTTTCATTTGGATAAAACATAAAATCAGTGTTTATAGACTCGGCCGTGGTCACTCAGACTCGGCCGAGTTACTGGGCCTCGCCCTATGGGCAAGGCGAGTTTAGGCTGAATACATTATACACATGTTTTAAATAGTTATATAGGCTGAGTACATTGTACACATGTTTTAAATAGTTATATATAATAAGCTGCCTTGGGTCTATAATCTAGGGAAATGGAGAGATCGAGGAAAATGCCACTTATAGAATTAGAGTTGGGTCGGCAAAGTGGAGATGTACAATTAGAATTTTATGTGATCGCCGCATACCAATGAAACTGAATGGTAACTTCTATAGGACTTCTATGAGACCACCTTTGCTTTATAGAGTAGATTGTTGGGCGGACAACAAATAATATACCCATAAAATGAGTGTAGCGTAGATGAAGATATTAAGATGGATTAATGACAAGACAACAAGGGATAGAATCTAATATGAATCCATTCGAAAAAGTTTTAAGTGTAGCACCAATAGACGATAAGATGAGAGAGAGTAGACTTAGGTTAGGTCGGCCATATGTGGCGTTGATCCACTATAATACCTGTTAAGATGTGCAAGTTAATTTAAATGGAAAGATTGAAAATGGCAAGGGATATGCCAAAAAAAATGTGATTGGAAGTAATTAAAAAAAATATGAAAACTTATAGCTTCACTAAAAGTACATCTTTAAATAGAGCGGATCAAAATTCATATAGTTGACCTAATTTATTGAAAAAAATAATTATGATGATGATGATAAGCTACGAATGCTCAATGGGAATCTTCGAATGACACACTGGGTAGCGTGCAATCGCGGTGAGGGGTTCGTTTCTCCCAAACAAACATTGGCTTCCATTTTTAAATCCAATTAAGCCTTTTCGTTTACTTTTTTTTTTTAAAAGAGAAAACATGAGTTAAAAAACGAGAGCAGCGGATTCAAACTCAAGACCCAGCACAGAGGGACAACCCAGGAGCAGACAACATAACCATCGAGCCATGTAACATTCAGCTTTCCAAGAGTGAAGCCTATGATCTATGTACTATTATTTTTTGTCTTGATTTTTTATTTTTGAAACTCAAAATATACTCGGATTTGCCGGAGTAACTCAGCTCGACCAAGGCCCGACTGACTTTGACGAGTCAGTTTTCTGAACACTGTATAAAATAAAGTGGAATATGGGTTAACAGAATCAAATAAAAACTTGAATGCTTGGTGAACAAATTTACAAATGCCATGAATTTTATCTTTTGGAACGGAAAAAGGAGACGTATCGAACAGTTTCAGATATAACAAGAGTATCTTTCCGATTTATCAAACCTTCAGTAAATAACCAAGAGAAATTAAGAATGTATTTATGGGATTTCTATGGTCATGAGGGTCATCACCGTCGAATTTATTAGTTAGACGGTGTTGGAGAAAGAACACCTGCCGAAACTTGACGGTTCTCTAGTGATGGGTCACACACTCCCGACGACATCTTACCGTCAAATGGGAGGTAATGACTAGCATGACTCTTTGTTTTCTATAGGCCTGATCGGTGTTTCAGGATTTGGCCAGTAATTCGGGTGCTCTAGGGGCCAACTCAGCCCCCATTTAGAAGGATTAAAAAATACCTATTATTATTAAAAATATATTAATTTAATGATTTAGAAGTACATTTTTAGAGGTTTTTACGATGATTTGGTAAATTTTATCTCAACAAGCTTCAATTTTTATTTTTCATTTTTTGTCTTTCTTCTTAACATTTCAAGGTATAAATTAAAATTTTTAACAATCCATCTTTTATGTATGAAAAAAGTTTATAGAGAGCCGAGGCTCTAAACAATCAAACTGGAGCCTACCACAAAAATGAGGTTGTTTTGATGCCTAAATATCTTCAAATTGATCATCTCGACATCAAGATGTATGGACTGAGAAAAAATGGATTTCAAGTTTAGAAAAGAATATATTTTGTAACGTTTTTTTGGACCGTCAATTTTCAAGATTTTCAAGTTTTCATACATCTATCCATCTACACTATCTTTGAACCTTTAAACTTTATAAATAAAGATAAAATATATTTTAAATCTATCACAAAGATTTTCAGTATTGAAACCACATTTCTCAGCATGATTTGAAGGTAGGTTCTAATTTGATTGTTTAGAGCCTAGGCTCTAGGCTCTATACAAACCATACCTTTAGGTATTCTCTTGATTTTATGGACTTCTAAATTCAATTACTCATTTTAATTTTTCCTAATTTCTAATGACCTAACAAACTTTTTAGATTTTTTTTTTTAAATTTTTTTTTTTGTGTTGTACGCTACTCAGACAAATCGATTTAGACTCAACTTGTGCTAGGGCTGAGCCTCGGACCCCAGCCATGTTTAAAAAAATTGTGCCTGAGGAGCATAGTTTACGATCTCTGCTAGTGTTGCCAGACACCCCCTAAAATGTTTCACTCAAATTATTCTAGAGTTAGAATTTCCATT